TACAGGGTCTACAGGGTGTTCAGTGGCTCACTACTAGATTGGACTAGTAGTGATCCACCTGTTTACAGCCTCCCAAGAGCTGGGATTACAGGCGTGCACCACCATGCCCAGTCTCAGTTGCCATCTCAGTGCACCCCGGGGGTGGGTCTGGCATGGCAGGCCTGTGGATAAAACCCCTGGTTCCAGTGCCTGCTTGCAGGTGCTTTAACCCACTGAGCTACTTGGCCAGCCCTGTCCTTACACATCTGTGAATAAGACTTCATTCAGGAGAATAACCAAGAGCTAGTGTTTAGCTACATTTATTTCTTCATACTCTCATTTATTCATTTGACAAATATTTTCTGAACACTAGTATGTGCTGACACTATACAACTTGTTGGGAAGGTCAAGTTCAGAGTGCTACAAACCTTAGTATACCAAGGAGCTCTAAAAGTCTACTGGAGGGTGAACAACTTTATGATACAGGATCACACTTCTCTGGGGACAGAGAAATGGGGACAGTTGTTTTTGAGCAACTCACTGAAATCTGGGAAGAATTCATACAGGCAAGGAGACCTAAGCCACAGTGTGAACCTGGTAGGATAAGTGGGAGCTTCCAGAGGGATGTGGAATGAAAAATGCTGCAGGCAGCGGGAAGAGCTCAAGCAAAGGAGGGTGTTGAGCTCTTCTGCTATTATTATACTACTTTCTATTTCTCCCTCCAGATTATAAATGTTTGCTTTAGATATTTAGATGATTTGATGTAAGGAGAATATATATTTATTTTATATCTTCTTTTGGAATTGACTTAAAAATTTTAGTTATTTATTTATTCGATACAGGGTCTTGCTAAGCAGCTCAGACTCATAGTGGTCTTCCTGCCTCAGCCTCTCCAGTGCTGGGATTACATGTGTGCACATCATGCCTGGTTTTGGGGACAGCATGGCACATCTGGGATTCTAGGGGCTGACATGGCATGCAGTACAGGAATTGAACCCAGGGCCTTGTGCTTGCCAGGTAGGTGCTTAGACCACCAAGCTATCTTCCCAGCCCCAAATTGACATTTTGATTATTATATTAAAATCTTTATCTCTTGATGGTCTGAGACTTAAAATCTGAAGTAAGATAGCACATGTGTTTTTTAAAAAAAGGATTACTATTAGCAACTTAGTGACTGAGATGTTGTCTTAAGAAAAGGGGAAGGCAGAGGAGGGCAGAAGATATAGCTCAGTGCAAAGGCCCTTAGCTCAATCCACAGTGCCACAAAGGAGAAAGGGGGGAAGAGGCAGAGAGAGAGATAGAGAGAGAGAGACAGAGACAGACAGAGACAGACAGACACACACACACACACACACACACACACACACACACAGAAGAGAGAGACCAAGAGATAGAGACAGAGACAGAGACAGAGACAGAGACAGAATTTTCATGCAATGTGCTTATAAATCCTTTACTTTCAGCCTGTGTGTGTCCTTAGATATAGAATCTTATACACAGTACATAGTTTTATGTTATTTCTTAAATTTACTAATCTTTTCTGTCTTTTCTACAACTTTTGACTTGGGAGTTTAAAACATTTATACGTAAATTAATGATTTATAGCTAAGGACTGGCTGTTACCACTTTGTTAATTGCTTTTCATCTTTGTATAGTTCTTTTCTTCCTCTCTTTTGTTATTTGATTTTTTCTCATACTTTAATTCCTCCTCTTTCCCTTTGTGTTTCTACTGTATATATTATTGTGACTGCTATAAAGCTCACAATGAACATCTTTACTAATGAATCTGCTTTAAATGACAGGCCAGGGAGGTGGCCCAGTAGAATAAGTGCTTGCCTGGCAAGCATAAGGGCCTGAGTTCAATCCCTAGTTCTGAAAAAAACAAAAATAAAAACAACAAAAAAAAAAACCTAATGACATCTTAGCTTCAGTCACATATAAGAACTCTACACTTTATCCTCAACACACACACAGTTTATGGACTTGATATGAGACATTTATAATGTGATTCCGTTAACTAACTGCTGTAATTGTAGTTATTCTTACTATTTTTTGCTTATACATTGATATTAACAGGGATTTATGTCCCTTTATTTCAGTGTTGTAGTATTCTGTTTTTATGTTTGTGTGTAGTGGAGAGATTTATATTTTATATGCTTTTGTATTGTTCAGCATCTTTTCATTTCAGGATGAAGAATGCTCTTTAGTACTTCTTGTAAAGCAAGTTTAACAATGACAAACTCTCCCAATTTTATCTGTTTGAGAAAAAATTCAATATTTATTTCATATAAATTATAGTCTTACCAATAAAATCTTACTTAACAGTTTATTATTTTTCAGTATATGACTATATAATCCTACTCTTTCTGGTTGGTAAAATTTCTGCTGAGAAATCCTCTGGGAGGCTTATGAAGTTTAACTTAAGTGTAACAACTCACTTTTCTCT